TACGTACGTACGTACGTGTGTGTATGTATAGACGTACGTACGTACGTGTGTGTGTGTATGTATAGACGTACGTACGTGTGTGTATAGACGTACGTACGTGTGTATATGTATAGACGTATGTATGCATGTACGTATGTATATGTACGTACACGTATGTACGTATGTATATACGTACATATATACGTATGTATGTGTGTGTACGTGTATGTATGTATGTGTGTGTACGTATGTATATATATATATATGTATGCGTTTATAAATGTCTAAATATATAAGAAAGGTGGCAAGTGAGGTGATATGCATTCCTTCAAGGAATGCTGGTCTTTTAACTACAAAAATCAGTTTTAAACTACTTTATAGGAAAGAGTGAATGCATGTTAGAAGAGCTGCATCACCCGTAAAAGTTCTTTAAATGTAGTTTTAACTCGCTTCCATTACTTTTATACTCTCATAAACCTTTGGGTGTTGAACTTGTTGACTTGTATTTAGTTTGATCTTTCGTTGTCCTATCTTCTGGTCTTTACAGACACGGCTCCGTCCTTCCTTTAAGATCAGATTCAGCGTTAATCTGTGCTTCTCCTTTTCCATGAAAGGTGTTCGAGGTGAACTGCTCGTCGCTGCGCAGTGGCCGTCTCGTCCTGTCTCAGCTGAAGGAGGCCACCCAGTCTCACCTGATAGAGGCTTCGGGGCAAGATCCACTGAAACCAGCGTACTTCAGCAGCTACAACCCCAACAGCTGCACTTCTAAACCTGAGCTAGTCCTTGGTAGGATGTGATGAATAAAAACTTTTGGTGTTCCAGTTAAATGAACATAACGTGACCTTGCTTTCAGGACAGTTGGAAATGTTTTTTTTAACATGCATCAAGATCTTTTATATTTTGTTTTTTTAAATAATTACTTTACTTTTTCTTTACAGGAAAACTCCCCCCTCCTCAAAATACCCCTTTTGCCTCTAAAAGAAAGGCAGTTCGTAAATGGAGTTCTTCTGGCCGCAGAGTCAAAGCTAAACCATCCGTCACTTTGGCTCACTACTTTAAGATGAAGCAGAAAGCTGATCGTTTACACTTTTCTACCATTTCCCAATTTGGAAAATCAGCTGTGAGGAAAAAGAAGGCCAACACACTGCAGGAGCGTCATCAGAGCAGGACGGCGGCCATGTCGCTCATCCTGTTTGAAGAGGTAAGACGAGTGGGGACAGAGGTCACACATCCAGGCACCGCTGGACTCTGACTTTTGTAACTTCCTGTTCAAACAGGTTGACATCATATTTGAGGATGATGTTGGTTTTCTTGCAGCAATCAAGACTTTCATGACAACCACACAAAGACCTGTTATTCTGACCACTAACGGTAATTGATTATTAATGTACTGCAATTGTTCTGTTTGTTTGGCAAGTCTTTTCAGTTCAGATACAAACAAGGGCTGAAATGTGAATGTTTGAAGGCAAGCTGAGATTTATGACGGTTTCTTCTTCCATAGATTCATCTTTTAAAGAGAGATTTGACCGCAGCCTGGAGGAAATCATTTTTAAAACCCCATCAGCAGTGAGCTACTTTAATGTCTTAATACAGTCAGATACAGGTAGTTGTAAAAGTATGCATCTCTTTTTATTCTATTTTATTGCCTTACAGCCTGAATTTTTAATTTTTGTTGGATAAAAAATATTTTTTTGTTCATTTCACTTACTCAAAGCCACACACGAGAAGCTTTTTTTTTTTTACTGTTTTTTTCTTGCAAGAAGTTACGGTACATGCATGGAGCCCAGTCATGAGAATCTGCCACGGGCAGCGTGCAAGGCTTGTTTTTATACTAGTAAGTAAGTAAACTTTATTTATATAGCACCTTTTACAGGTCAGAAGCCACAAAGTGCTTTACAGAATATAAGGCATAAAAACACAAAAGATAAAACAGAAGGAGAGATAACGCTCTTATATCAGCTCTCTGCTCAGAGGCAGACACTGGTGACCTCGGCCACAGAGCTGCACATGCAAGATCAAATCAGCTCATTCAGCCCTCTCTATGAGAGAGAAAATAACTCTGTGGTAACTCAAACACATGGTTCATGGGCAGTTAACATTTTAAGCCAGTCTAACAATTTTCAATTTGATTATAACTTAGACCTACACAAACAATTCACATCATCAAAATTCAATGGTGGGAAAATATTGAGTTGAAAAAGATCAAACGGAAAAGTTGTGCGTGCCTATTTGCCGTTCAGTCACAGTAGAGGCATGTTTAGCAGCAGTTACTGGAAGTTTGTCCATTCTCCATGACCTGCTATAGTTTACCATATCATACCCATACCATTTTATTTATAGAGCACTTAAAACAGTGACAAGGCCAACCAAAGTGCTGTACAGACAGAAAAACAGGCAACACACAAAATGAGGTAAATCAGAATATAGACATAAAAACGATGCAGATAATAAATATGACGACTAACCTGTGTGAAGCATACAGGTTCAAAACACAGATCCTCTGGTGTTGAAAAAGCTTCTCCACGTTGGGTTAGAACAACTTCCAGTAGAGATTCTCAGTAGGACTGAGGGTTTGGACTGGACCATTTCATTACATTAACCTTTTTCTTTTTAACTAACAAGAGTGTTGCTTCATCTGGGTGTTGGAAGGTGAACGTCTGGCACATTCTTAAATCTCTGGAAGGTTCAGACATGTTTTCCTCAAGAAATTCTCTATATTTTGCTCCAGCCACCTTTTTATGACCAGTTTCCCAGTCTCCGACGATGCTGTTGACACCAAGCTTCATTGTGGGGATAGTATCCTCAGCATGATGACAGGTGGTAAAGTTTCCTCAGATACGGGTTTTCCTCGATGGCCTAAAAGTTCTGTTCTGTGTCTGACCACAGCATCTTTGTCTGTGTTTGGAGTCTCTAAAATGTCATTTAGCAAATTCCAAACAGACGTTTTAAATACTGTCTTTAGGTAACTGCTTTTTCTCAACCACTCTTCCTTGAGGTTTAGTTCTGCAGCTTAAGTTGGGTCCATGGACATATCCTTCCATCTCTGCAGAAAAGCTGCTCAGCTCCATCAGGGTTATATTTGGGTTATCAGGGTTTTTATATTGGTAGCTTCTTTGCTGAAAAATTACCATCATTGCAATATGAGTGCACCAAAATCAACTAAAGAAATTGCAAGGTTTTTGCAGAAGAACTTACAGAAAAACAGCTGAACTTGGCTAAAAAACATGCTGAAATGTAGCTGAAATGGAAGAACAAGCCTAAATTAGCTGAACAAAGCAGAAAGAACACATATATATTATTTTAATGAATTAGGTTTAAATAAACAGAAATGAGCACAAAAATTAGTAATTTAACAAAAAAAAGCTGAACACATTGCTGAAAAGTAGCTAAAAAGGCAGAAAGAAACCTAAACTACCTGAAGGAAGCTAAAATAGCTGAAATGTGTTTAAAAAAGGTGGAATTGGCTGAATAAGCTAAAATTAGCATTTAAAAAAGCATATATGCTATATATATATGGTATATACTAGCTGAAATAGCAGAAATAGGCTCAAAGTAGTATAATAAGCTAAACAATTGGCATAAAGAAAGTAGTTTGAAAGTCGCAGAAATGACCAAGAAAAACTTAGATTTATCTGAAAATAGCTGAAATGAGCTAAAAATGTAGCTGAAAAGGTAGAATAAGCTAAAATTAGCATTTAAAAAAGCTACTGGTAAATACTTGCTGAAATAGCAGAAAAAGGCTCAGAGAAGCATAAGAAGCTAAAATTAGCATAAAGAAGTTAGTTTTAAAGTTGCAGAAATTACCAAGAAAAACATAGATTTATCTGAAAATAGCAGAAATGAGCTAAAAATGTAGCTGAGAAGGTAGAACAAGCTAAAATTAGCAAAAGAAAGCATAAACATGTTTGCCCAATTAGGGTGAAAGAAGCAGAAATGAGCACAAAAATGTGAAAATTATCTGGGAAAAAAAGTGAAATTGGCAACAACAACAACAAAAAAGAAACTGCTGAAAAGTAGCTATAAAAAGCAGAAAGAAGCTGAAAATACCAGAAGGAAGTGGATATAGCACATTTTTGCTGAATTAGGCTGAATTTTTTTTAAATGAGTGCAAAAAATGTGGAATTAGCTGAAAAAGCTACAATTATCATTAAAACAGCTAAATAGCTGAAATAGCAGAAAAAGCTGAAACTTGCAGAAATGAGCTGAAATTAGCAGAAAGAAGTTAGAAGCACAAAAAGGTTTTAGTTAGCAGCACGAATTTGGAAGGAGCACAAAACAGCTGAATAAACAGCTGAAATTAGATGAAACAAAGGTTTAAATTTGCACAAGGAAGCTGAAAGCAGCTGAAGCAGAACAAAATGTGAAAGGAGCAGTAAAAGGTTGTAAACAGATCTAAAGATTTAAAGGATGGAAAATGATCTAAATTATTTTCCCATGAGATAAAAAGTGACAGAAAAGGCTAAATATTTAAAAAAGCTAAAGTTGCACTAATACCAAAAGTCAAAGCAGAATTGTCCTGAACGAGCTGAACATTTTGATATGATTTGTTGAAATAGTAAAAAAACTGGAACGGGAAAGATGCTGAAAAATGTATGGAAGAAAAATGGATCACGGATCACAAGAGTGAGAATGCTTCATAAACATTCACACAATAATTCAAAGGACTGCAACAAATCATAGGTCATTATTCTTCGAGTACCTCGCAGTAATGTTCTGCACTCAAATACTTTGGACAATACAACACGCTCGCTTCCCTTGATGCGTCCACCTACTTTAGAAAAAGATGACAGAAGAGTCAGGCTTACCACAACTGATAGTTAGCTCCCGTGTTAAACAATAATATCCCACCTTTTCAAGCTTTAGTAGCTTCACTGGTTAAAGGACTTACTCGATCTATGAGATTTTCAGGATGACTCTTGGCAGGTTTGATTTAGTGGCATGATCTTTTTATTTTTTAATAATAGTTGTTGTTGCTGTGTGCCATGTTCATGGTTTAACATATTTGTTTTAGTTTACACTTTATCTCTGGCCTGTTTGAAAAGTTCCTTGGTCTTCATGATGTCTCTTGCTCAGACTGGTGTGGGGATCAGAATTGACACAGAGCAGGTTTAAGGATCATGATTGTCCTGCTGGATAAAAATACCCTTTATTCATCCATCCATCTCTACTCGCTTCTTTCTTTTTGAGTTGTGGGAGTCACTGGTGTCCATATCCAGCAGTTACTGTGGGAGAGGCAGGGGACACCATGGACAAGTCTCCAGTCCATCACAGGGACACATAGAGACAAATGAGACAAACAACCATTCACACTCTCACTCACACCTAGAGACAATTTAGAGTCACCAATCAGACTAACATGCATGTTTTTGGTCTAAAGGAAACAGGAGAAAACCCATATATGCACAGAGAAAACATGCAAACTCCACCCAGAAAGGCCCCCAGCCAGGATTTGATCCGGGGCGACCTGCTCGCTGAGAGGCAGCAGCTCTACCAACTACACCACCGTGCTGCCCCCTCGTGTAGGTCCATTACCTAGAATCAAAATAGAAATTCATTTAGATCCCAGGCTGTACAGACGGAAAATAAAAAGAATATCAAAGGTGTGAATACTTTTATAAACTCGACTTGTTTTGTGTTTGTCAAGTTTACCATTTAAGCTGCATGAAGAAAACACCGTGTTCATCTTTCCTCTCGTTGAAGGTGAATGTGTGCAGTTACCTGCAGCAGGTGAGTCGGGCTGAAGAGGTCAGTTTGGCTCCGGATGACTGCAGCAGCCTTTTCAGAGCCACGCGAGGCGACGTGAGGCGCTGCCTGCTGCAGCTGCAGCTCTGGGTCCACAGTGGAGGAGGATGGACATCAAAGACTGGAGGACCAACTGGTTCACAGCGTGTGTTTCTCTTTGTAACTCAGATTTATACTTTTATTTAAATTGAATCTAAAAAAAAGTTGTTAACTTTCTTTTTCTCTCCACAAACCGATTCAGAAGCAGGAGGTGGTTCAGACCCACAACTTCCTCTGTGCCAAGCAGGTTGTTCTGCCTCCATGTTGGGTCTCCACCCTGTAACCCCAAAGTATCTGCTAAATTTCTTAAAGGCAAGCTTTTACAACATTCTTCCAATATTACAGACCCTTTCCAATAAATTAGAACATCATGGAAAAGTTGTTTAACTTTCATAATCCCATTCAAAAAGTTAATATTTAATAGATGATAGATTCAGGGCCCACAGTTTAAACAATTTCAAGTATTTATTTGTTTATTTTTACATAATTTGGGCTTCCAGCTCATGAAACCCACAAAAACAGGATGAAAAAAAATTAGAATACTGTGGAGAAATCAGCCCAAATTTTGCAGAACATGAATGTTTTAAACTGAGTGTGACACACTAATCATCTGCTAAACTCAAAGCACCTGCACAGGTTTTCCCAGGTGTCATTAAATTGCTTCAGTTTGGTTCAATTGTCTCAATTTGGTTCAATATGGGGAACACCGCAGACATAACAACTGGCCAGAAGACCATCATTGATGCCCTCCATAGGATGGGTAAGCCACAAAAGTTCATAGCTAAGGAGGCTGGCTGTTCACAGAGTGCTGTGTCCAAGAATATCAATGGAAAGTCTAGTGGAAGGGCAAAATGTGGCAGAAGAAGATGCACCAGCAAAAGAGATGACCGTGGGCTTCAGCAGATTATCAAACAGAAGATTCAGACGCATCCGGGAGACGGGCTACAACTGTCGGGTTCCTTGGGTCAAGTCACTTCTGAACCTGAGCCAACTTAGGAAGCGTCTCAACTGGGCCAAGGAGAAGAAGGGCTGGACCATTGGCCAGTGGTCCAAGGTCCTCTTTTCTGATGAAAGTAAAAGTGTGCCTTTCATTCGGAGATGAAGGTCCAAGGGTTTGGAGGAAAAAGGGTAAGGAACAGAACCCATACTTACTGCTTGAGGTCCAGTGTGAAATATCCAGTCAGTCATTATTTGGGGTGCAATGTCCGGTGCAGGTGTTGGTAAACTCTGCTTTCTTAAATTCAAGGTCACTGCAACAGTCTACCAGAATGTTTTAGAGGACTTCATTATTCCTTCTGCTAAGGATCTGTGTGGAGATGAAGATTTCATCTTCCAGCAGGAAACTGGCCCCTGCCCATGCCACCAGAAGCACCAAAACCTGGTTTGATGCCCATACACAGTGCTTGACTGGCCAGCCAACTCGCCCGACCTAAACCCCATTGAGATTCTATGGGGTGTTCTAAAGAGGAAAATGAGGGGCACCAGACCAACAACAAAGAAGAGCTGACAGAAAGCATCAAGGAAATCTGGGCTTCCATAACTCCCAGTCAATGTCACGTCACATCGAAGCAGTGATTAAGGCAAAGCGATTCCCAACCAAGTATTGAAGATTGACATATCGTTTTGAATGTACCATGTTTTTATTGATTTGTTGTCATCCTAATTTCTTTCTTTTTTTTCTGCAAAAACAGAAGTAGTGTGGCCTGATGTCTTTACAGTATATTTTGAAATCCTGTTTTCGTGGGTTTCATGAGCTGGAAGCCCAAATTATGTAAAAATAAACAAATAAATACTTGAAATTGTTTAAATTGTGGGCCCTGAATCTATCATCTATTAAAGATTAACTTTTTGAATGGAATTATGGAAGTTAAACAACTTTTCCACGATAGTCTATTTTGGAAGGGGTCTATATAATATTTTTCACCTCTGTCAGCGTTCATTAAATCAGTTTTTCATTCTTTAGTTGCAGTCTTGGTCTGAAAATGTTGTAGAAGAGCTTCTGGCTGAAAGCTGGAGAAGAGATGTGCCTCTTCTCTACTCCAACCTGGAGCTCCTTCTGTCCCTCGGAGCTGCTGAAATTACTCTCCACCGTCTGGACAATAAAATAGACTCCCAGCTGCCGAGTGAGCCCAGACGCTCTGACACAGACCTTCACATCCAGAATTCAAACCAAAACGTTGGTCCACAGGTGTCTGTGCCCTGCAGCAAATCTGTCAGGACTGTCTCTCGTCTCAGCCGAAGGAGATATACTGTGACGACTAAATCCGACTTGACCGTCAAACCTCAAAAAACACCGTTGTCACTCAGAGAGACTCATCCAGGAGCTCCAAGTTTAGGTGACAGATGTGAGCGACAGCTGTCCAAAGCAGCAGCAGACTGCCTGGATGCCCTGGCAGAGTTTTTTGACCTCATGTCTTGTATGGACACACTGCCAGACGCAGGACGGCTCGTTTCAGGCTACAGGTTAGAATCATTTGTTTGGACCGGAGCAGCAGTAAAGGACGGTTTGTTGGATGAAATGAGCGAGGAGGACCGAGGGAGCAGGAGCCTGGAGCGGCTGCAGGATTTCAAGGTAGCGGTTGAAGGTTTTGGGTTCCACCAGTGCTGGTACAGTGTGTCCAGGACGTGGACCGAAGCTCTGAAACACAACCAGAAACTGGAGGATGAGGAGTGGAAAAGACTGCAGGATAAACTGCTGCTAACGAACTCTTCTGAGAGGCAGAACCTCAGCTTTGCTCAGCCTCTCAGGGCACCAGGGTGAGTCTGCAATTGTTTTTAAATCGTTTACTTTTCTCACTGCTCACTCTTTCTAGACTTTGTCTACCTGTCTTTATGAAGAGGGTTTTCAGGGAGACTTGTCCAAGGTTATGTGTATTTGATGTTTAATTTCTTACAATAGCATTCAAAGTAAAAAAAATAAATAACATTTAAGGCATAAGTCACAAAAAAGATTCTCAGATATTTTTGTCCCAGTAATTAACAGTAAATGGGCAAAGTGATGGTAAGCATGTCAGATAACTGCTGCAATTAAAGCTGTAGAAGATGGCAATGTTTTCAGGTGGCTTTCTGTCCATTTCTTCCACCCAGGGCTTAATTTGTAAAACAGTCAATGCCGGAATAAAGTACCGTAGATTCAATTTCCTGCATTTTGGTGTATTTTAATGGGTTGTTAAACATCTGTTTACCTACGTTCGTAAACACTCTGCTTTTGTCAAGCATCCTATCCCTCCCCCCCACCCTTACTTGACAGTCCCGAGCCGACTCTTCTCCACTGAATTCACTGTCCGACTCCACATGTGAAACCTCCAGGCACCTGTGGGCTCCTGCCTGCGACTGCCTGGTTAGCTCATCACTCACCCCCACTGCTCTTTTATGGGTGGAGATTTTTTTAAGGGTAGAGGCAGAAATGCTTACTTGAAGGGGCAGATCATATGTGATATTAAGAAATCATAAGTGGCTGTTGTGTTTAAAATTAATGTTTATGTAATTATTTATCCAATATAAGTTTTATTCGTTTAAGGCAGTCATGCTTGTCCTAACTTTATTAGTAATTCTAAAAGTTACTGGATACTAGAGCTGTCATTTCTAACTCGAGCCCTAAGCCCCGCCCCACCCGATCTGAATTTGGGGCGGGCCAGGCCATGACAATGTGCTATATGGGCAAGCTGGGTTGTGTCAGGCTTTTAATTGGGTCAGGATCAGTCGCAATCTAATAACATGGCCTGCCATACAATCAACAGCCGCACGCAGCCATTTCACCGTGAGCTGACCGGACTTGAAAGAGGTAAAAAAAAGTTCAGTTAAGCTTCAGATGGGACTGTACTGCCAGGAAGGAATCCATCGCCCAAATGGACGTTCATTCAGCCACTGCACTCAGCGGACGTGTGTGGCCGATGATCCAAACGGGTGAGATCCCAAAGCAGACACGTCAGAGTGGTCTGTGTCTGAATAAATCAGAATGCAGGCAGAAACGGTTTTTAATGCTCTTTGATGGCCATGAAAGGACAAACACCCCCATGGCTCAGATCTTCTACCCCTTTTATTCAGCCGCGCGTCACCACGGTAAAGTTAGTTTTACGGTGGACGTTCAAGCTTCGTGGCTTCAGCTGTGTGTTCCTCTCGTTCCGAGTTCGGCTGACCGAAATCAGACTTCCTGCATCAGATCAAACGAGAGGAACACACCGCTGAAGCCACGGAGCTCGAATGTCCAACGTCCAACATAAAACTAACTTTACCGCGGTTTGCTGACCGTTAACTATAAGCAGTCAAAGCTTAATTTAAAATCTTGGGCTTTTTCTGGGTTCGGACTTGTAATTACTGTTAATTCGTCGGGTTGGGTTCAGAAATTATGGCTACGGGCTGGGGCCAGGTCTGATCAGATTTTTTGGGCCCGAATGCAACTCTAAATTAGATGCGATTTCCTGCATTTTGGTGTTTTTTAACAGGTTGTTAAACACCTACACTTACCCACATTTGTAAGCACTCCGCTTCTGTCAAGCATCCTAGCCCCCAACCACCACTTGACGATTCCGAGCTAACTTTTCTCCTCTGAATTCACTGTCCTGTTGTCTGACTACACGTGAAACCTCCAGGCACCTGTGGGCTCCTGCCCACGTACGACTGCCTGGTTAGCTCGGCACTCACTCCCACCACTCTTGTAGGGGTGGATTTTTTTAAGGTTAAAGTACCAGTAGTGCATTTTGATGTGTGGCTCTGTGGAAGATTATGAACTATAAAAGTAGACTGACTGTTTAATGGGCCAACATTGGCAACTGTCAACTATCAGCCATGCTGGTGCATACTGTATCGGTTACCAAAGAGAAAAAAAGGATAATCTACTGTAGCCCACAATTTTTATTTTGAGTAAGAATGCTCTTTTTTTATACATTTATTTTTAGGTGTACAAGTTCATTTAAAAGTTGTTCACTATTTAGACTAAACAATCATTGTTATATTTTGTCAAATGAAAAATACATATTGGCCAAATTTCTAAAGATTGACATCCATCCATCATCTTTACCTGCTTCTTCCTTTTTGGGTCACTAGTGCCCAAATCCAGCAATGACTGTGTGACTGATGGGGTACACCCTGGACATGTCTCCAGTCCATCACAGGGACACACAGAGACAAATGAGACAAACAACATTCACTCTCTCACTCGCACCTAGAGACAATTTAGGGTTACCAATCAGTCTAACATGCATGTTTCTGGTCTGTGGGAGGAAACTGGAATACCCGAAGAAAACCCACACATGCACGGAGAGAACATGCAAACTTCACCCAGAATAGTTCCTGGCCAGGATTTGATCCAACAACCTTCTCACTGAGAGATGGCAGCTCTACCAACTGTGCCACCGTGCTGCCAAGATTATAGATTGATATTGATATATAATTATAGAAAAAGTCATCAGTCCACCTCTAAGTCTAGTCTACCTCTGGTAGATCTTACCAGTTTGTGGCTCTTTGAACGACCTCAGTTTGGAGAAAGAGTTTAGGTCTGACCGGAATGACGATCAACAGCTGGTCCAAATGCAGCAGAACCAAAGTGGGTTGCCAACAATCTCAAGTGTCACAGCAGTTTGACTTCTGTCTCGCCCTCACTCGGACCAGCCAATGCCTCATCATTCCCTTCAGAATACTGATCTTTCTTCAAACTCAGGTTGTCTACAACATGCTAGTGGAACAGATAAGCGATGTCATTTTTCAAAGGTGAATGCAATAATAGAAATTGGTATTTTAAAATTTAAAGTGTCCAACATACTTAAAAAAAAATAGTTATGTCTAAAGAATGTCTGTGCAAAGTTTAATGCTTTCATCCAGGCATGAAATATTTTTGCTGAATTTGGACCCTATCTGCTCCACTATTCAGAGCCACTTTAAAAAATGGCCAGAATATCTCTTTAACTGCAGAACTATTTGTTTTGGAAATGTAAAATACAAGTTTTACAAGTGTTTTATTTACTAACCCTGAAAAAATAACTACACAATATCTTTTTACAGTCAAAATGTTCAGCTGTGTCATATTTGTTCATGAAACTACTGAAACATTTAGGACTCGTAATTTTCTTTACTTTTCAGATTTCATCTTTACTTGTTTAAAGTGTAACCTTTGAGGCACAGAAATTGGTTCAGAGCGTATTAAAGCAACTTTATTCAGGTGGTCTGATGTGAAGACAATATATTAATTCATAAATGTATTATGCTTTCATTAAATATATGGTTTTCATTATGCTTTCCTTAAATATATGGTTTTCATATTTGTTTTTCCTTCAGGAGCACAGAAACACAATGTACAGTATGTACACGTCATGTTCCATGTTGTTTTTGTGCCTCTGTTTTCAGTGCGTCTCCAAGGAGCTACAAAGCGAGCAGGATGGTGCTGAGCAGCAAACCCTTCAGCTTGTTGGGGAATCGACAGGCTGTCGCTGTCGACTACATGCCCGTCCTTCGCCTCTTCTCTGCACAACAACAAAAAACAGAACTAGGGAGGTGAGCCTGATGAATTACATGTTCACCTTAGAGGTCCAGCTTCAGGTTCAGCTCAAACATGAAATCAGAAATGTGCTTTAATAAATAAAAGGCATCTCTGTAGTTAATAAAATAAATCACAGGGTTTTTGTTCACTTAGCCCAGGGGGTCTGCAACCTTTGTGATAAAAAGAACCATTTCTGTCACTTTGCTTATTAATTACTATGTCCAGAGCTGCAAAATCTGCTGCAACTGTGTACTGTCAACTGGTGGCCCAGTGGACCACTACAGGTTTGTTGGAGATGGGTCAGTGGGGGTGATATAAAACGAAAAATGTCTAACTATTAACATTTTTACCATTTAATACAAAAGACCAGATTCATGCAACAAAATAAAAAAAATTTAATATAAAAACTAAAACGCTAAACTCTGCAGGTTCTCTTAATTGTTGAAGAATTATCTACTATCTACTACCAAGTACTAGCCTACTTAAAGCATAAAGTTAGACTGGATAAAATTAGGCCAGTTTGTTGGATACACAATTACAGTTTTAAAGAAAAATAAATACAGTAGTCCCTCGATTATTGTGGGGGTTACATTCCAGACACCCCCGCGATAAGTGAAAATCTGCGAAGTATGGATGTTGTATTTATTTTAGTATTTATACCGTATTTTCCGCCGTAAACGTTGCACCGCCCTATAAGTCGCATCAGTCCAAATATGTCATAAAGTGGAAAAATCCATAAATACGTCACTTCGCCGTATATGTTGCATCTATTATGCGTCACCGCTGACAACCTGGAAATGTGGGACGGCGTTGTGCCAAAAATTGATTGGCGGCCTCGGGAGCGTGCACGAGAGGAGTTTAACGAGAATTTAGCAAGATTAACATTTAAAAACAAATTTGTTTGAGACTCATCTTTGCTATAATTTTGAGTCGTCTAACTTTTGCTTAATAAATGCACTTTGATGGTCAAATAATAAGCTGCATTTTCAAAAAACGATACGTGGAAGTAGGCACGTGCATGGGAGGACTCACTGTGCATTTCTTCAAAATTTAACCAGATAACCACTTACAAACAATTGTTTGTTTGCTCGACATTATAGCAAAGGTGTGTCTGTTGAACTTTTACTTAATAAATGCACGTTGATGATCAAATCAGCTTCATTTCACCGGGGTGGCGCAGCGAAATGAGGCGGATTTGACTGTTGCTCCAGGCAGAAGATTGTGGCAGACTATGGCAAGTCTATTGTGTCATTAATAGCCACTTTTATCTATGACATGATACAACGGTATGCCATACAACTTGACTGCCATCTAGCGGCTGAAAATGGTAATGTTCAGTATTTTCAGTCAGAATGAATGAAAACGGTCATATCTCAGCCAAAAATTGGTTTATAAATATGGGAAAAAAATTCATAAACACGCCGCTTCAGCCTATAAGGGTGCATTCACACCAGCCCTGTTTAGTCTGCTTTAATCGAACTCTAGCTCGTTTTCCTACAATGTCCGGTTCGTTTGGGGAGGTGTGAACGCGCCATCGAACTCTGTCACGGAACAAAAAGGCAAACTCTGGCCCAGGCTAAAACCTAGGTCTCGGTCCGGTAGAAGCGAACTCCAGCGCGGTTCGAGTGCAGTGTGAATGTAAACCAACCGACCCGCTCCACAGGACAAACAAACACGCATTTCTCTTACCTTATATGGAGCCGTCAGCTGCCTTGTGTGGAAAAACAATATTCTCTATGGTCTTCTGTCTCATCTTCTGCTCATGCGAAGTCCATTTTTGAAAAATGACAAAATATAACTCCTAAAACTTGATGCCACTTCGTTTTTATTTTTATTTACAGAACAAGAAGTGTCTTCAGAGATTTTTGTGTCGTTTCTTTCAGTAGTTCTTGGTGCAGCGCCCCCACAGGCGAGCGGGGGAATAGGTTGGTTCAACAGGTTGACTCGACTGCACAGTGCAGTGTGAATGCAAACGCACCAGTTCAAATGTAAACAAAAGGTCATGAATATTGGTCCCGAGCCAAGTCTACCGGAATATCTGGTGTGAAAACGACCTAAGTTGCAGGGCATGCAAATTATGCAAAAAACTGACTTAAAGGGCGAAAAATACAGCATATATTAAGGTTTTATAAACACTTCCCACACACTTGCAATGTTCTAAACTCTCTAAACGAGCACAGCGAGAAAGTAAACTGACTGATCCTACGGTTACTGAGCCAATCAGCGCATGGGATACAGAGCACAATGCTCTGGTTGGTTGCCTTCCATCAATCAGCCAATCATGTGTCGTGTACAATCTTGGGTTGAAAACCCGAGAAAAAGCAAGTCCACGAAAGTCGAACCGCGAAGTACTGAGGGACTACTGTATTTCGTTTACTTTGACTTTGATAAAACTAAAAATAAAACACAACAAAGTTACTTAGTTTTCTTTCTCAGCAGCTTGTCTTAAAAATATTCCAAAACATTCTGGTGGTTTTGAGAGAGAGATCACGCTGAGAGACTGGAAGTAGACTTAAAGTAGCTAACAAACTGCTAGCATGATGTAGTCCACGTTTTATGCCTTGTATTCTATAAGTGCTATATAAATAAAGTTTACTTACTTACTTATTTGTACTATTCTTCACATATTTGAAAATGACAGGAAGTCTACTAAAACTAGCCATTTTCATTGTTGGCAATAATTTAAATAAAATTCAGTTTTATTGTAGTTTTTGTCAAAGCCTGAAAGAGCTGCTGTAGAGGTACCAAAAAAGGTTGCAGACCCCTGGATTATGATGTAAGCTAACTTTGTGTTTTTTAAAGGTTACATTAAATCAATTTGTCCATTACAATGTGAAGTTTGTCTTTTAAGCCTCATATTTTTTTAGCATTATATTTTTCTACATTAATACAATAGTTGTAATTGTATGCTTTTCCCATATCAGGAGTTTGAACCACTGGAGCGGCACACATCTGGGCCTCTCTAAATCAACCGTACGGCTCCTGGCAGAAGATTTCACTTTGAAAACAATTTAGAAAAACATTTAATTCAATTTGCATCGTTTATTTTACCGAATGACCTGACTGATCACGTTTCATTTTTAAAATGTAATTGTTGCCCTCATTCAGGAAACGCGGGCAACATCGCCTGTGTGTGTGTTAGCGAAACATTTCCTGTTGTGTGAGGCCAGTTTGAATGAAACTCCCAGAAATGAATCGCTGGGCTAACCTCTCCACATAAATTATTGTAATCAAGTTGATTTAAGACAGCCATCAGAGCAAGTGAGCCTCAGCAAACACAAAAATGTCTAAAACTCAGTTGTCCAGTTACTGAGCTGAAACCTGCTGTTGTAGTAGCTGGGAGTGATTTTAAGAGCTAACAAATCATGCTTTGTTTCAAACTGTAAGTCTGCAGGTGATCTGCATTCATTTAGGGATTCTTGTTTTATTATTAAGTTTAAATAAAATATTTAAAACTCACTGATGTGCTTCAATTGTTCAGGTTCCTTCGAGGCTAATGTGGCCATGCATATAATGGTTTTAAATACCCCACTGAGACAAGAAGATGCTTCAACAACAAGGTGGTAGAAAGTTGGACAAAACTCTTTTTGGGTGGCTGTGGCTCAGTGGTTCGAGCAGTCCAATGAGAGAGTCAGAGGTTTGATTCCACCAGTATGCAGTCACAATGTCAGTGTCCCTGGGCAAGACGCTGAACTCCTTGCATCCTATGCACCGTATGGATGTGGATGGGTAAGAGTTGTTCCAACTGTGTTGGAAGGTGCTTTGAGAAGCCTACTTGTCGAAAGACAGTTGATAGGTGCAGTTAGGTGCAGCCCACAGGTTTATGTAACAACAGTGGTGTCTGAACATGAGATTAATCATGCGGGCAGCTAACAGGAGTCCCTGAGCAGCTCATAGAAAGCCACCGCCTGCAACAACGAGTCACTCAGCTCCTCTCCGTCTTTCCTGCTGTTCATTTCAAAGTGGTTCCTGTACTTCACCTGCAGCTCTTGGGGGATGTTTATCCTGGGAAGCTTTTGTGTCACGGACTCCGTCATCAGCCATCTTACCATCTGAACCCCGCTGGTCCGTGACTCGCCCACCATCAGTCTAAAGTGGCGTCCCACAGTGGTCCTGATCATGTTCAGAACCCTGTAAAAGAAAGCGAGGGTCATTGATGGGACCTTAGAGCGCACTAATTAAAAAGTGTAAGCTGGTGATCAAAGTGAACACAGCTGGTAAGACATATACTAGTAACTTGAAATGTACACAGTAATTGTTGGGGTGTGTTTTGTTGACAACAGGGTCACCGGACTCAGAACATTTAGCTGACTTTAAACATTTATACAAGTAACTGATGTAAGCACATAAGCTTAAAGGCATCACCTGCAAGTAAGTCGATTTAGAGTTTAAAGAAATGCATCTGTTTTTCATTCACATTAAATGAACTTTATCGGTTCTTAAACTTGTGAAGATTGAGGAAGATCCATCCATCCATTATCTTTTACCCGCTTCTTCCATTTTGGGTCACAGGGGTCGCCAGTGCCCATGTCCAGCAATCACTGTGCGAGGGGCGGGGTACACACTGGACGGGTCGCAAATCCATCACAGGGACGCACAGAGACAACCATTCGCTCTCTCACTCACACCTAGGGACAATTTAGAGTTACCAATCAGTCTAACATGCATGTTTTTGGCCTGTGGGAGGAAACTGGAGTACTCGGAGAGAACATGCAAACTCCACCCAGAAAGGCTCCTGGACCGGGATTTGAACCAAGGACCTACTCGCTGAGAGGCAGCAGCTCTACCAGTTGCGCCACCATGCTGCCTGAGGAAGATCCATCAATCAATTTTTTTAACCCCCCCTCTCCTTTCCCGGTTGATGGCACCTATATCCAGCAGTCGCTGCATGAGAGGTGAGGTGCACCCTGTGCAGTGTGTACTTTTTCCTATTTTCATTATTTGCACGATTGAGAACCATCACATAAGAAAACTGATTATTTTTTCTACCTGGATTATTGAGCACGCATCAGGATATTTTTTCTTGTTTTTGTTATATGACTTTTAATGACGTTTAATGACTAGTGTCAGCTTGAATCCGGTTGATTCTAAAAGATGTACAGTAGTCCCTCGCTACTTCCCGGTTCGCTTTTTGCGGACTCACTTTATCGCAGTTTTTCAAAATAAGATTGGACATGACACACGATTGGCTGATTGATGGTTGAGCCGCATAATCGGCATGGAATTTTTATTTTAAATTATTTAGCACGTCTGTGCAGCCCACACTGCAGGATAAGCTTCCTGCTGCAGCTGATCAGCTGTTCTCTGCAGAGCAGAGAACTGGGCATGGCCAAGAAGCTTGCAGGTGGCTGAGAGCAGTGGAGGCCGAGAGAGGGAAATCATGACATTCTGTACTCTTGGAGCGTTTAGAGTTTAGAAACATTGTTTAGAATGTTGCAATACTGTGGGGTTTTAAAACGCCTACTTCGCAGTTTTTCACTTATTGCAGGGTTTCAGGGTACAGATCTCCTGCAATAAACGAGGAACTCTAATGTACACCTGTTGATATTTTCTGGGTTAATATAAAAGTTTGATATGTTTAATAATAATAAATTTTATTTCAGGGCGCCTTTCAAAAACCCAAGGTCACCTTACAAAAACAAAATCAGCAATTAATAAAAAATTTGTGTTTACACAAATTACAGTTTACTTTAAAATGATAATTAAAGCGTTTGCCTGCAGTTTTAGCTCAGAGTCTCAGAAAGGATCGGTACTTTGTGGAAATGAAAACATTGATACCAGTTTATTTTGTTCATCAATTTTATCATCACTCTTATTAGTTATTTACTTTATATCACACACTGTTAAAGCTTATCTAAAACTGTAGCAGCTAAACCCCTTCAACATCAGTGTGTGAAACCGTCTAACTTCCGTTTCTCAAACCCAGCTCCAGAACCAGTCACTGACCACAAACGTACTGTCTGTTTTTACTCTGATAAGATTGCAAATGAGCGCCTGTTGTGTCAAAACATGTTACGTGTGAAGGTGTATAAATGAGACTGTATTGCTCATGATTTTAGAGAACACACAGAACTTGTAGGCTGCATGCTTGTTCGTGTGTTTTCTCCCTTCTGCAGAAGAGAAATAAACCTTGCTACATGTTTTTTAAACAAAGTTCTCAGTCTGCTAAATTTTATTGAACAACAGTTTGATAAAACTCCACACACCCAGTAATTACTTTCATTAAAATCCATCCAATGGTTCATGAGATATTCTGCTGACAGACAAATGAACGCACACCCATGGATAGTTAAAGCACAGCCTGGAAAGGTCAAGAATACAGCGAGCTTAGACGACAACACACATTTATTTTGACCTGGGAGGAATATTAGTCTCTGTTGGGCAGACTCTTGGCTCCAGCAGTGCGAACAACATGGCCTCGACAGCCCTCAAATGAGCCATGATGGGGAACAGAGCTGTATTCTGCACCGACAAGGAGGGTTTCTCTATCAAGTAAAATTCTGCTGATGGGAGGCGGGACACAACCGAGGACACCTGTTGGTGAAAAAATTTATTACACGTTTTTAATTTAGATAAAAAATTTAATTCAGTTCAAATAACCAAACACAAAAAAAGATGAGAAATGCTTACATCATTTAAATAGGCTGACGCCATGTACCTTCCTCTCAGGAAATTAGGGCAGTCTTGCTGTTGCCAGTCTAATACAGTCATCTGACGGTCCACATGAGCCCAGGCAATTTTTTTGACCCCGCAAATTATTGATACTATGGAACTGGCACTCTGGATAAACAAAGAAAAAATACTTAGCAAGGGCAAAAAACAAAACTAAGATGGAGCTTTAGGGCCACGCTAAAAAAACAAAAAAAATTACATTGCCACGCTAAGAAAAAAAAATGTAAAAGCCATAAATTACGAGAATAAAGTTGTAGTATTACGAGAATAAAGTAAAATAAAGTCAATTTTACGCGAATAAAGTCGTACCAGACTTTTTTTTTTCTAAACAGCTGTCAATTTTTTTTCTCCACGAGTCGGATGCATGACGCGACCTGTCAATCAATTCAGTAGGCGTGTCAGCAAATGACCAATCCGAAGCTAAATGAGTTGTAATATTATCCGAACTCCAACACGATAAAGCAGTTTACCGCATTTTAACTGTGGTAAAATGAAGAATGTTTGTTAAACTTTATTGTTATTGACGCTCTTACTCAAAACGTGTTCCAATACTGCCACCTACTGTTGTGTTTTTATATACTGCTCTTTCCTTTTTGTTTCCGTTTGAAAATGGCGCACAGTGACCGAAACTGTGTGGTGCAGCGCTGTTAGAAGTCTTCAATAAATACGCTAGAATAAGGCTGAAGAGACCCAGCGACTCACTTATAGGAGCGTTTAGCTTCGGATTGGTCGTATGCTGACACACCTACTGGATTGATTGACAGGTCACGTCATGGATCCAACACGTAGGAAAAAAATTTACGACAGCTGTAAAAAAAGTCTCGTACGACTTTATTCTCGTAAATGTACGACATTATTATCGTAATTTTATGGCTTTTATGGCTTTCTTAGCTTGGCAATGTAATTTTTTTTTTTTAGCATGGCCCTAAAGCTCTGTCATACAAAACAGACATGGAATTTGCTGCAGAGATAAAAACCTACAACCTACAAGCGTCAAACAAGAAGCATCGAAGGAGTAACGTAATTTGGATTTCATCACACTAATTATCTAACAAAATCGTGTTGACCAGAATATGAGCAAGTAAAACTAATAATAATAATAATAATGAATTTAATTTGTAACGCACTTTTCATTAACAAAAATCTCAAAGTGCTACAGAGTGCAACTAAAATCAATGATAAAATCAACTAAACTATGGGGCAAATAAACTTTGCAAATGAAGCAGTATTTTTTTCTTATATAAAACTAAACCCAAGACTAGACCTGTCATGATAATAAATTTTGCTGGGCGATTGTCTCAGAAATTATTGCGATAAATGATAATGTTGTTTGAAATTTGACAGTTAGTAATTATTGTCAATACATACATATATATATATATATATATATATATATATTTACATATATATACATATACATATATACATATACACATATGCATATATATACATATATACATATAAACACATATACATATATATATATATATACATATACACATACAGTGGGGAGAACAAGTATTTGATAGACTGTTGATTTTTCAGGTTTTCCCACTTGCAAAGCTTGTAGATGACTGTAATTTTTATCATAGGTACTCTTCAACTGTGAGTGATGGAATCTATAACAAAAATCCAGAAAAATACAATGCATGATTTTTAAATAATTAATTTCCATTTTATTGTGTGAAATAAGTATTTGATCTATCAACCAGTAAGAATTTTGGCTCTCACAGACATGTTAGTTCTTCTTTAAGAAGCCCTCCTGTTCTCCACTCATTACCTGTATTAACTGCACCTGTTTGGACTCGTGACCTGTATAAAAGACACCTGTCCACACACTCAATCAATCAGACTCCAGCATCTCCACAATGCCCAAGACCAGAGAGCTGTGTAAGGACATCAGGGATAAAATTGTAGACCTGCACAAGGCTGGGATGGGCTACAGGACAATAGGCAAGCAGCTTGGTGAGAAGGCAACAACAGTTGGTGCAATTATTAGAAAATGGAAGAAATACAAAATAACGGAAAATCTCCCTTGGTCTGGGGCGCCATGCAAGATCTCACCTCGTGGAGCATCATTGATCTTGAGGAAGGTGAGGAATGAGCCCAGAACTACACGGCAGGACCTGGTCAATGACCTGAATAGAGCTGGGACCACAGTCTCAAAGAAAACAATCAGTAACACTCTACGCCGTCAAGGATTAAAATCCTGCAGTGCACGCAAGGTGCCCTTCCTCAAGCCAACGAATGTCAAAGCCCGTCTGAAGTTTGCAAATGACCATCTGAATGATCCAGAGGAGGAATGGGAGAAGGTCATGTGGTCTGATGACAAAAATAGAACTTTTTGGTTTAAACTCCACTCGTCATGTTTGGAGGAAGAAGAATGATGAGTACAACCCCAAGAACACCATCCCAACCGTGAAGCATGGCGGTGGAAACATCATTTTTTGGGGATGCTTTTCTGCAAAGGGGCCAGGACGACTGCACCATATTGTGGGAAGGATGGATGGGGCCATGTATCGTGAGATTTTGGCCACCAACCTCCTTCCCTCAGTAAGAGCACTGAAGATGGGTCGTGGCTGGGTCTTCCAGCATGATAACGACCCAAAAAAACAAAGCCAGGGCAACTAAAGAGTGGCTCCGTAGTAAACATCTTAAGGTCCTGGAGTGGCCTTGCCAGTCTCCAGACCTGAATCCCATAAAAAATCTTTGGAGGGAGCTTAAAGTCCGTGTGGCCCAGCGACAGCCCCGAAACCTGAAGGCTCTGGAGGAGATCTGTACGGAGGAGTGGGCCAAAATCCCTGCTGCAGTGTGTGCAAACCTGGTCAAGAACTACAGGAAACGTCTGATCTCTGTAATTGCAAACAAAGGTTTCTGTACCAAATATTAAGTTTCATTTTTCTGGTGTATCAAATACTTATTTCACACAATAAAATGGAAATTAATTAATTAAAAATCATACATTGTATTTTTCTGGATTTTTGTTTTAGATTCCATCACTCACAGTTGAAGAGTACCTATGATAAAAAGTACACTCATCTACAAGCTTTGCAAGTGGGAAAACCTGAAAAAAACAGTTTATCAAACACTTGTTCTCCCCACTGTACATATACATGCATATACATATACATACACATATACATGCATATACATATACATACATATACATACATATACATACATATACATATATACATGTAGTGAACTAGGCCTCCGATCAAAACCTGCCTCTGAAGACCTTCATGGGACAGGAACTGTTATTTCATTGATTTGAATCCAGAAATACAAATTAGCTCATCCAGAGACTTTCTAATTGTATCCTGAACTAATCAATTGAAAGAACACTCTCTTTTTTATATTATCATTACTATTTTACAATATCTTGATAATCAAAAGTGTGTTTAGTTCATACCATTTTTAAATGTTGAAGTGAACCACTCATTTTAAATCAACTGTGAAACAGTATTAATGATTTTTTTAATCCTCATTCAAAGTAGAAATCAAGTTAAATGTCTATTTTACAAAGTAATTATGCATTTTTGATCTTCTGTCTGAAATGAGAAGGAGTGATGTCGGTCAAAAGTCGGAGACAGTCAAGAAACAAGTTGTTGGAACAAGCTGTCGTGTTTTTAAAGCTCTCAGACAGTAAATAAGAAAACTGGCACCTGTAAGTCTGTCATTTCTCCAAAATATTTTCTCGTCTGTAACTAACCGTTCTCAAAACATTCCGCTGTTTTCTTGACTTGTAATGACCGTCTGACGTCATTAAAACCACACCCCTGTTGGTTCCTTCAACCAATCAGGACTTCCTAAAAGTGACCGGAAGCAGAACTCTTTAAAAGTTCCATTAGTTCCGTGAGTTCAGTTAGTTCTGTTAGTTCTGTTGGTTCTTCTGGAGTTCCTCGGAGTCTTTTCTGAGTTTTTCTCAGACTCAGTCTTCTGAGTCGAGTTGGGATTATGGAGCCTTCCACATCTGAGTGGAACCTCTGACGGACTCACAGCTTGCTGTATATCCACCCGGGAGATGAGCGTGCTGTTGAACGGAGTACCGTCACTACTTCGGACGATTCTCAGCCATCCTAAGGAGACGCTGAAAGGTAGCATTGAAATGGAACTCCGTACCGGAGGTGACCTATCTTCTGCAAAGGTAACGAGTCACTTCACTACCTAGTGTACCGGGGCTGAGCTGGGGTCAGATGAAGGGTGCCATTCCTCGTCAACACGCTTTCTTCCTCCCCATTTTCTCTCCATTTAAACTCCTTCACTTCCCATCTTTAAACTTCTATCTTGCCAGTAATTAATCCAGATGCCTTCAGAAATGTCCTTTGTTTTTATTAAGTAAAACGTGCCGTTTTATTAATCAGAGCCAGATCAGTCTAATGAAGTGTACAATGTTTTGATGATAAATTTTGATTCTGTTAATAAATGACCACATTTATTTTGATGGGTCAAAGAAAATTAACATCTCATGTCACTGATTAAACCATCCACGCACAGTACCCTGTCACATATCTGTCAAGTAGCTTGAAAAAGAGAGAACCCTTTATTAAAATATGACTGTAGTGGAGCTCTGAAGCTAACCAAGCTAATCGAACCTTGCAGCTCACTACATACATATACATACATATACAAACATACACATATATACACATATATACATATATACATATACATATATACGGGTCCTTCTCAAAAAATTAGCATATTGTGATAAAGGTCATTATTTTCCATAATGTAATGATAAAAATGAAACTTTCATATATTTCAGATTCATTGCACACCAACTGAAATATTTCAGGTCTTTAATTGTTTTAATACTGATGATTATGGCATACAGCTCATGAAAACCCAAAATGCCTGTCCCAAAAAAATAGCATATTTCATCCCACCAATGAAAGACAAGTGTTTTTAATACAAAAAACGCCAACCTTCAAATGATCATGTTCAGTTATGCACTCAATAGTTGGTCGGGAATCCTTTTGCATGAATGACTGCTTCAATGCGGCGTGGCATAGAGGCAATCAGCCTGTGGCACTGCTGAGGTGTTATGGAGGCCCAGGATGCTTTGATAGCGGCCTTAAGCTCATCCAGAGTGTTGGGTCTTGCGT